ACTTCAGAATTGTAAGAAAATCAATATTTGTTGTTTAAGCCACCCACTCCGTGTTGTCTTCTTATGAAGACCCAGACAGACTAATACCACATAACTCATAACTCTGTTAGCGCTGTCCCCTGGATGGAGAATCAGCCCCCTGAAGCTGGTCACATCTCTCAGATTTCTACATAAAGTAGGCAAAAAATGTAGCTGTGATACAAAAACTTGTCATGTCCCTGTTGACCAATTTCTGGGCAAAGTGTTTTAATGAAGCCCTTGGGGCTTTGTCACAAAAGTTGTCTTTTATCTTTTCTGAAGACCTAATAATGGACAATGGGTACCAGCTGGATGGAGACTGACCACTGACCATCTTCTGCTGTCTCTTTAGTATGCCACAGAAAACCACATCAACATCACTCTATGTCTTCAACTTTCTAAATTCGCACTGAATGTCTTGCTAAATGAGGAACTACATGAGGTCTGAGTTTTGTTCCCTTCTTCCCTGTCTTCCTCAATTACCAAGGGCAGAAGAGGCTTTCAATGAAATTTGGCTGTCGATGCCCCCAACACATCACTTTTTAAGCTCCAAGAACTTAATAAGGGGGACTAGTGAAACACACTTGTAAATGGAAAGCCCTAAAGCACATAACAACAGCTGAAGGAATGACCACTTTACACCTGAAGGCTGATGAGGAAGATGGTAGGGTCCCTTCCTCCAAGATGGTCCTGGGTGTCTGATGGTTGGATGCCTCATGCATATGGAATTAAGGACTGGACTGAAGTAGAAACAAGGGCCACATCCCATAGGAAAACAAGAAAAAAAAAGGAAAACAAGATGCCATCTGGGCATCCGTGAAGACAGTTAATTAAATTTGTTGAGTTTAAGATGAAATTTTTTTCCAAAATTTTTAGTGTTCTTAGCTAAATATTAATCTTTTCAACAAACTGAGAATTACAAGGAGAATGGAATTAGAAGTTGAGAGAGAAAAGTACTGAGAGAGCAGAAAGAAAATTCACACAAAACTGTCACATGGCAGAGGCCAGAATGGAGCTGATGCAGCAATGTCATTATTCTGCAGACTTAGTTGATGAGACCCTTTGGTATTTAAGGCAGGCCCAACGGTGAAGAACTCCTTTAGTTTTTGCTTCTCTGGGGAAGGTCTTACCTATCCTTTATTTTACGATAAGATTTACATGGTAAAATTTCTTGATTGGCAGAGTTTTGTTTGTTTTTCATTCTTTTTCCCCCCAGCAATTTGAATACAGTCATGGGCTGCCTAACAATGTTTCAGTCAACAATAGACCACATATATGTTTGTGGCCACATAACATTGTAATACCATATTTTCACTAAGGATATTCCATATTTAGATGTGTTTAGATAGAGAGATACTTACCACGGGGTTTCAGTTCCCTGCAGTGTTCAGTGCAGTAACATGCTGTACAGTTTAGTTGTCTGGAAACATTGTGCAATTCCACATAGTCTGTGTGTAGTAGGATATTCCTTGTAGGTTTGTGTAAGTTCTCCCTATGATACTTGCACAATGATGACACTGACTAGAAATACATTTCTCAGAAATAATCTCTATCACCAAACCATACATCATCGAATGTAATTCCTCTCCATTCTGACCTGAAAATCTTCTGCTGAGAAATCTGCTAAATCTGCTCTTTTTCTTTCTGTTTTCAAAAACCTTTCCTTTAGCGATGTGGTTTCAAACTATCTCTGATTTTTCTCATTTGGTTTACCTTATTTAAAATGTATAGAGCTTCATAGATGTAGATGAATATTTGCTTCTCCAGATTTAGAAAGTTTCCGTGCTATTACTTCTTTAAAAATCCTTTCTGCCTCTCTCGCCCTGTCTCTCTCTCTCTGTCTCTCTCTCACCCTCTTCCTTCACTACCCCTTTTGTCTTATCTTTGCATAACTCCTCAATGCATAATTTCACTTCCACCGTGCTTCCTGACTCGTAAGTCTTTAACTCTTTATTTCTTTCATTTAAATTTTTCTTCTCTGTCTCTACTATTTCAAATGATCTTTCTCTGAGTTTACCATTTCTTCTATTACTTGATCTAGTCTGGTCTAAAATCCTCTGTTAAAAATTTTGTCTGACTTATTGTATTCTTGAGCATCAATATTTTTGTTTAGTCATCTTTTAAATGTTTTATCTCTATTAAAATTCTTGCATTGTTCTTGCGTGATGCCACTAGCTCATTGAACATATTTCTAACATTTACTTTAAATTTTCTGCCAGGTAATCCATATGCTTCCTTTTCATTGATGTCAGTTTCTGGATCTTTATGTTGTTCTTCTGTTTGGACCATGTTCCCCTCCTCCTTCATTTTCCTTGACTGTCTTTGTTGCTACCTGTTCATTATAACAAAAGCCACCATACACTCTTCAAAGACGAGGTTTATAGAGATCATCCTCACAAATCAGTCCAGGTAGTAATTTGGGTTTCTCAAAACTTCATAGTATTCAAACTTCTGTCTCTATTCTTAATGGTTCCCAGGTTTTAGAGGATGATAGATTCTTCCAGTAGTCATAGATAGGGGAGGTAGAAACTATTTACTCAAGCAGCCGCTAGAAAATTTGGACCACTGGACAAAGTTTTATTATTGATGTATGATTCATCAAAATAATGTTAGTTCAAGCTTCTCTCAACCAGTCATTAAACATTGAAATTTTATCATATCTTATTTGAATCTGGGGTTTATTCTTTGAATATTTAGGTAAAATTACAAACTAGTTTAAATCTGCCTATTTGGCAAAATGATCTGCTGCCGAATTTCCATTTTCTGTGTTATCTCTTTTTGCATTTAAATCTAAGTCTGTATTAGACATGCATCCAGAATGTGGAAAAATGTCTTAAAGTTCCTTAATTTATTTAATTTAATGGGGTTTCCAGAAGATGTGAAAACCTCCTTTGTTTATCAAACACCTGACTATTGGTCAATAGTTTTCTCTTTAATTTTTCTCTCTCCTCTCACATTATCTATAATAAGCAAGGATAAATGAGGCACACCATCAACAGTTTGCTTAGATATCCCATCAGCCAAATTTCTAACTCTCACAAATTCTAACTTCATCCAATGTAACATAAGTAAGATAAATTCTATAACAAGGTATACATAGTTTCCAGTTCTAATACCACGTTTGTGATAGAAACAAAGCAGGTGTGCTCTCTGCGAGGTGGTCATCTGAGGTCTGAGACAAGGGGTCACACAGGTATTTTTATGATATTTAAGGGATTCGGCAAAAACAACAATAACAATTCTGATCATCACTGGCTCTTACTGGAAAGTTTACAGGTAAAGTTACTGCTGTTATTTCATTTTAACACCTAGTTAGAATGAAGCCCAGAGGAAGAGGCCACATCCCAGGTCACACAGTGAGGAGGAACGGAGCTGTGCTCTGCTCTTCACACTACACACAATGTCCCAGGCACAAGCCCAGGTTCCACTGACACGTGGCATCTAGAGGGCAGTTCTCAGGGGATGGTCTTACTGCACCTGCTTCCTGGGGCAGGGCACTTCCTTCTCTCAGTTGTGCACTTGCTCCTTCTGCCAGCTCTGAAGTGACCACTTGCATTGCCATTAATTAATCGTATTCTCTCCCTTATTATGGCAAAAAGCATATTTATTAAATTTTCAATTCATTTTCTCTGAAGCACACTGTGTTAGCAGAAAGGAATAAATCACATTCCTTCACCTCCCCCACAGCCCAAGATTCCTGAAGACAGAGCCGATGTGATGTACTCATAGGTGGATCTCTGCTCCACCTATGAGGACGTGGCCTTGGTCTTCAAGTTTCAGCAATTCTGGGAAGCCAAGGACACCTCCATCTCCT